AGTAGTATGCTGCAGGATGTTGTGTCCAATTATCTGCATGTAGAGGCTGTTAGCAGAAGTGTGATCCAACAATGTATCATACACTCAATAGCTTTAGTTACAGTCCCTAGCCCAAGCATCTAGGAATCATTGATCTTGACAGTGCTGCCATGTGGTGCCATGAGAGAATGGAGATTTAGTCAGTTTCCACCGAACAGAGGGAAAACTACATCCACAGCTGCCTGATGGTAGTGAATAGCTGTTGTATTCCATGGTGCCTGGTGTGTCTGTATTCATTCTCCATTAACCCCCATCACAGGCATCACAACAGCTCCTCTAAGTGTCCCTGCATAGTCACTAACTCCTTCACAAATCATTACAGTCATCTAAGTTGCTCAATTCATAAAATATATTTCTTTGCACGGAATGAGAGTTTGAGTTTTCATCCTGTCCCTGTCGTTGGTTTGCATAGCGTGTGAGATTGTCTCCCTAAGCACATGGAAACGTTTGTCTTCTTTATGCTGTTATTTATGGAGAAAATTAGAGCCTTTGAAATGCTTGTCATGTGAATTAGAATTAGTCAGCCATTAGAGGAAATGTCCCAGAACATACTGTACATAGAACATACGGTACGTAGAACACACTGTCCAAACTACTGGTACAGATGTAGGATCTTAATTTGATCACCCTGTTGCAGGAGAACTTTCCTGCAATACAGGAAATGTTTTACTTGTAGTGTTTTTGAGGTTTAAAAAGTTTGTAATTTCCACTTAAAAATGTCAGACCTGATTTTCCGTTACGAAAAAATGTATTAACCCCTACAAAAATGTCCATTAATTATAATACACATAATAATTCACATTTCTTGTTGCTGCAGGATTATTTTCCTGCTGTAGCAAACTGGCTCAAATGAAGATCCTACATATGTATAGTTACTGTCAACCCACTGTTGCAATTACTTACTCTTACTGTAATAAACTACTGTGGCTGAGATTATAGCATGGTTAGATTATATATTCCATACTCAAAAATTAACTAAACTACACAAATTGTGGCATGTGGTCAGTGGAGGTGCGTACAATATTAACCTGTTTGCCTGTTGAATAGCCATATGGTAAAGACAGCCAGTGTGGGAAGGTGTCAGATCTGATTATGCGAGCAGCATTTGTCATAACTTTTTTCTTATTCCTCCACTAATGTTATATAATGTACTGTAATTCAATTAATCTGTTTTGGACTTTCTCAATAACTCCGGATTGTGATGGTGGTAGGGGTTTAACATATCAGGGATCTCTGATTTAGTTATTTTGATTCTCTCACTTTGTAACAAATGAATGTGGGACAGAAGTTTGACAAGGTGCCAAACTTTACAAGTATGCTATTTCTCAAATTCCCTTCAATTTCCCTTCCCGCAAGTCTGTTTGGGTTAAACTCGGCTCCTTGGCTGAATGTGTTGGGACAGAAGTATGCCTGAACACACTGGAAAGTGAAATGCCCAGATTTTACATCCTGGGACTATGGATGAAAATGAACCAAGGCGACAAGTGTTCTTTTCATAGATTTTAGTAGTAAAAAATAAGATTTTATTTATCCAGTTCCAGTTCAACTATATTACTATTTTAGGATTCAAAGACATGCAGTTCTAAGCTTTTCAATAAAATGTATTTCAGTGTATTCTGAAATTCATTGGTTGTGAATATGATAGCAGGACAATCACTCATTGAGCAATGGGAGCACTACAGTGGTATGATATTTTGTCATGGAGACGTCCAAGCGTCCAGTGGCCAGATTTGACCCTCCTCCTCCTCACATGTAAATCCACAGCATGCCAGACCTCTTAAAGGAAGATGTGTGAAATGATGTGTGAAATTGTTTTGGAGTATTTACTTGCAAATGATTTATATGGAGGCGCTGGTAAATGGTTTGGGATTCAATCAAGGCTTTTACAGTAAGTTTAGTTTGCATTCATGGCATGATCATCTGCATGATCAATTCAATTAAGACTTTTTAGGAAATACTAAAGCTATCTTTAGTCTTGTAATTGATAATGACAATACTTATCTTCATTTGTCTTGGGAATTAAATGGGGAATTTGAAACTCATGGTAGACATTTGTATGCTTTTTCTTTTCAATTGGATTAGTAATTTCTATTAGAATGGTCAGGGGACATCCCTGGGGGGAGAAAATGAGAACTCTTATTTTGTCCCCAGATTCTGGTCACTTTGGCTCACTATGGAGTCGGTTAGACAGACTTTCCAGGGAACTGTAATCACATGGTCATTATCAATTTACTAGTAATCCTTTGGTTTGTGGTCATGAAAATATAGTGCACTGGGATTGCAGTTATTTCACAGGATTGCAGTGTGTTGGATACATTCTGCTTGACATTCCTATTTCTAAACTATTGTAGTGCATTGCTGAGGACTTTTGACTCTCCAACAAGCTATTCATTTGAATGTTTTTGGACAGTTTCTATGCTTGAACCTGACTGGATTTCCTTGCCTCAAAGCCTTGGAATGGGAAATTAACTATTCTTCTCTGAGGTATTTGAACACAAATAGAAGCCATATATGAAAGATATTCCCAGAGAGTGTTTCGAGGACCCAGAGTAAGCATTGTGAAATAGGCTGTGATGGCATCGCTATGTGTGTTTGTGTTCCTGGAATGCATCTCCTCTTTGCAAGAGGTGTACTTTATGTTCCAGTGTAGGGTCAAGGATAAATGGATCTCAACTGTGATTTGTGAGGACAGTGTCAAACGATTATATATTTCTTTACCATTTGGCTTGTTTTTTCAACTCTGGTTTGGTGTTGTGTATTTCATGGAATGCAATAGATTGACAGTCATTCCACTGTGATTACATGCTTATGAATGTAACTTGTGAGCATATAATTGCTCTGGAATGGTCCGTCATTCCATCAGAAACTGTTCATGGAGTACTGAAGCCTGGCAGATTATGGAGAAATATTGTACAATATGGGAGACATGCTTTTCTTTTGAAGAGCAATCCTTAGGGTGTGATCTCTATTAGAATGAGGAGTCTTCTAGAATGGCAAACACGTCAGTCCTCTCTCATGTATTTACCCACTTGGATCTCGGCATACTCCCACCTCACTCTCACTGTCCCCATGTATTTACCCAGCAGGGGCTCCAGGCAGAGCAGTCCTGTGTGAGTTGGACCCACTGCCCCCCCCCTCCTCGGAGGCTGAGATGTGATTTGGCCACAGACGACTCCCTGTTAATAATAATGTGCCAAAACTCGTCTCCCTTCCTCGTGTTGTGTAGGGAAACCTTCCTGTTTAACTAAACTCCCTGTCTGAAAGATGACACATTTATGTTAGGAAATTTAGACACCTCTAGAGAAATAGTGTGTCAAAGAAAATGGTGGCGTTGTCTAAAAGCTTTCTCTGCTCTCTTTAATGTCATTGAAATACAGATAGGGCAGATATTTTTGTCATTCCATTGGCTGTGTGTGTTGTGTTTGTTCTGTAAGGTGTGTGTGGGTGCACAGTGTGCACGTGTGTCTCTGTTTGTTGTCAAGCCGCTAAGCTTTGTGCGGAGGGGAGATTTGTGGGTCATAAGCACGCAGTGCAGACACATGCAGCCACTGCCCTCTGTTTGCTCTTTCACAATTGCTTTGTCAACGTCTGAGGGATTCAGACCATACTTGTTGATCTCCATCCAGAAATCCCTTCTCAGGCTGTAGTTGTTATCTACTGTAGCTGTCTTATATCAAGGCCAAATGTTGACCATCGAGGGATATTCTCAACTATGTTGACATAGAACCATAATACAGTAACATGAGAGAAACCTCACACACATTTTACATTTACGTCATTTAGCAGACGCTCTTATCCAGAGCGACTTACAGTTAGTGAGTGCATACATTTTTCATACTGGCCCCCCGTGGGAATCGAACCCACAACCCTGGCGTTGCAAGCGCCATGCTCTACCAACTGAGCTACAGGAGGCCCTAGATACTAGATATAGTGGGTTATGACATTAACTTTATAACTGTTGGCAATAAGACAGGTATAGAGTGGGTAAATAGTGGTTTTGTACCGTCATACATTATTACAGCTGTACCATCATACAGTATTACAGGTGTACAATCATACAGTATTACAGCTGTATCATCGTACAGTATTACAATCATACAGTATCACAGCTGTACCATTGTACAGTATTACATCTGTACCATTGTACAGTATTACATCTGTACCATCGTACAGTATTACATCTGTACCATCGGACAGTATTACAGCTGTACCATCGTACAGTATTACAGCTGTACCATCGTACAGTATTACAGCTGTACCATCATACAGTATTACAGCTGGACCATCATACAGTATTACAATCATACAGTATCACAGCTGTACCATTGTACAGTATTACATCTGTACCATCGTACAGTATTACAGCTGTACCATCATACAGTTTTACAGCTGTACCATCGTACAGTATTACAGCTGGACCATCATACAGTATCATAGCTGTAACATCGTACAGTATTACAGCTGTAACATGATACAGTCTTAAAGCTGTAGACTTGAATAATTCACAGTATTAGTATTAGAGCTGTGATGAACTGCCTGCTTGTGTTTGTCCTCAGGGCCACAGTGTCTGGTGTGGAGGACTCTCCTTTAGCACCCTCCATGCAGATGAACAGCGATGGCCACAGAATCCCACCCACCTGAACAGTACAAACACACAGTGGAACATGAGTAATTAAATTCAAATCACTTTTATTTCCTGAGAAGGAACTTAATTAATTTTTGTGATGTGATCTATATGAAACATCTAAACGAAATACCATTTAGAGGCCACACAGCCCACACATCAAATGCTCTCTGTTATTGTTTTATTTAAAAAAAATTATGTTATGAAAGGTCTTCATTCATACATGTCTTGTGATTATGAGTCATGTGCTTATCAATCATATTTAAATGGTGTTATGATAATGACCTTAATAACAGTAATTGTTTGATTGTGCAGTTCAGTCGATGAAGTGGTAAACATGGAGCATGTGCTGAACTCGCTGGAGAAGGTCATTCTCACCATCTTCCTCTCCATCATCATCATCATGACTGTACTGGGAAACCTGCTGGTGATGGTGGCGCTCTGCAAGGACAGACATCTTCGGTAAGCACACTTCCTGTTGACATGTAGGTCACACCCTGTCAAATCAAAGGCTTTTTCTAATTTGGGCAAAAGTCCATGCTCCACCCTCTCTCCTCTGTCCTCTCTCCTCCGTGACCCAGAAACCGATAAGTGGTCAAGTAGCGAATGGAAAAGTGTATAGTCATGTGTATCCTTCCTAAGTCCTTTGTGGAAGAGTTTTGAAATCTGCCACATCCACTTTGAATCAGCTTTTGTTTTTTGTCGAAGGAGAAAATCATGCACACGTTTAAAAACAATATGCTACTTATCCTTTTATCTATAAAATGTATTTCACAACTAACGTAAAAAAAAAAGATCATTGCACACATTTATTTGGGGATCCACCCCTGTAAACGTACTTTGCCTGATGACGCGCGAGTGGAGAAGTCATTTCATACAATTTTCATACAAGCGCATTTTCGTCTACGTTCCCTCGCCTCGCCGCCTCTCCACGATTAACTTTGACCCTTTTCAAAAGGAGGCGAGAGGACGGAGGAGAGAGGACGCAGGAGCAAATCCAATTGAGAAAAGGCCTAAGTGCTCAGAGGAAGAAATGTGACCCCTTTAAAGCACAACAAAAAATGTGGGCTTGTAGAAAAAAAGAAGGAAGGGAAGCGTTGCTAAGGTACACAATAGTAGGTTTCGTAGACAGAAGGTGCTCTATGGTAAAAGGGGTAAATTAGTAATCAAAAAGAAAGGAGGACCAAGGCACTCTTCATATAATTAATTAAAATGCCTTTATTGGAATGGCATGTTCAATTGAAACAAAGTTTAAAAACTGTGTGCTGTTGGGGGTACTCAAGGGCTGGAGTTGGGAACCACTGCTTTAGAGTGATTGACAGACTGGTAAATATGCCACCTTCTGGCTATTGGGTGACAAACAAAGCAGCTGTTCTCACATTAGACACTGGCATTGTTTCTGTCATGTTCTATCTTTATGCGGTATGGTATTAAAGAGTTATGAGAAAAAAAGGTTGTTCTGTCTAGTGCAGATCAGTCGACAATTCTCATGCGCCTTTCTGGAAATTCATGAAAATGCTTTTGTTCCCCTTCTCCCTCAAGGAAGAAGAAGACCAACTACTTCATAGTGTCATTGGCGTTTGCAGACCTCCTGGTTGCTGTGGTTGTCATGCCGTTTGCAGCCATTGAGCTGACCACAGGTCAATGGAGGTATGGGGAGATATTCTGTCTGGTCAGGACCTCGTTGGATGTGTTTCTGACCACTGCATCTATCCTACACCTGTGCTGCATAGCACTGGACAGGTGAGCAATGAACATAGTGAAAAACATCCCTTCACTTTGGAAATTATTGCAAAACTATTGCAAACTGTTTCCACACACCCCATCCCAGTCACCTTGATGCATCCATTCAGCCTAATAGCCGTACACCTTTGTGAGCACCCAGCTGTGTGTTAGCATTAGCACGTGCCTTGGAGGGCCCTTCTCTAGCACCTCTCTGTCCATAAGCATATGTCAGCCTGTCATGGCTGATACATCAGCTATGTTGTCCTGTCCTGCACCTGCCCCATACAGTCAAGTCACTGCTAGCTCACCCCCTCGCTCCAAACACAAATCTAATGTATGCTTCTCCACGTGCCCCCAACCTCCAGTGGGCCCCAAACCAATTATTATTATTTTTCATTTGGGGGAGTTTGTGGGCCCCTTGTAGGTCCGTGTGCCCCCCCCCCCCCCCCCCCCCCCCCCCCCCCCCCCCCCCCCCCCCCCCAATGGATGTGACAGGGCTTGCTAACTATCACGGATTACAAAAGGAAATCCAGCAGCGAGCTGCCCATCGACGCAAGCCTACCAGACAAGCTAAATACCTTTTATACTCGCTTCGAGGCAAGCATTCCCTGAACCATGCATTAGAGCACAAGCTGTTCTGGACAACTGTTTGATCTTGCTCTCCGTAGCCGATGTGAGTAAGACCTTTAAACAGGTTAACATTTGCAAGGCCGCTGGGCCACACGGAATACCAGGGCGTGTATTCAGAGCATGTGCTGACCAGCTCGCAAGTGTCTTCACTGACATTTTCAACCTATCCCTGACCCGGTCTGTAATACCAACTTCTTTCAAGCAGACCACCATAGTCCCCATGCCCAAAAACGCTAAGGTAACCTGCCTAAATGACTATCGCCGAGTAGCACTCATATCTATAGCCATGAAATGCTTTGAAAGGTTGGTCATGGCTCACATCAACACCATCATCCCAGACACCCTGGACCCACTCCAATTCACATACCAGCCCAACAGATCCACTGATGATGCAATCTCTATTGCACTCCACACTGCCCACACTGTTAATTGACTACAGCTCAGAATTCAACACCATAGTGCCCACCAAGCTCATCACCAAGCTCAGGACCCTGGGACTGAACATCTCCCTCTGCAACTGGATCCTGGACTACTCGACGGGCCACCCCTAGGCGGTGAGGGTAGGCAACAACACATCCGCCATGCTGACCATCAACACGGGGACCCTCAGGGGTGTGTGCTTAGTCCCCTCCTGTATTCCCTGTTCACCCACGACTGCGTGGCCGCGCAAGACTTTGCTGATGTCAAAACAGTGGTAGCACTGATCACCGACGACGATTAAGCAGCCTATAGGGAGGAGGTCAGAGACCTGGCAGTGTGGTGCCAGGACAACAACCTCTCCCTCAACGTCAGCAAGACAAAGGAGCTGATCGTGGACTACAGGAAACGGAGGGGTGAGCACGACCCCATCCACATCAATGGGGCTGCCGTGGAGATGGTCAAGAGTTTCAAGTTACTCTGTGTCCACATCACTAAGGAATTAACATGGTCCACACACACCCACACAGTTGTGAAAAGGGCACGACAGCTGTCTGCAGGAGCGAACCATTTTCGTGAACGGGGTGGTGTACCTAATAAACTGGCCACTGAGTGCATGTCCAAAATAACATGGTTGCTGTGGTAGAACGTTTATTTTGATTGGTGATTTTGTGCATTTGTCAAAATCCCATCAGGTAGAGTGACTTCAGATATGTAATGTAAACAAGATTATTAGGAAATTGTTCTTCTTCCACAGCATGTAAACATTTAAATCAAACTATTATATTAATCTGACTATTCACAATCATCGTATTATTGTGTGCCGACCGTGTTCTTATTGGTCAGTCACCGGGATCGGCTCATAACACTAGCCACACTACACAATAAAGGCAAAAGAAATTCGGACACTGCTAGAACTTTGTCGGAGCCTACGACCACACGTAGTGGTACTTAATCGGTAGTCCTAGACCCTGCCTAGACAATCGTTTACAATTTAATCAGAAAAGATTTGGCATGGGCGCTCAGATCCTCAAAAAGTTCTACAGCTGCAACATTGACAACATCTTGACTGGCTGCATCACTACTTGGTACGGCAACTGCAGGCACCTGACCGCAAGGCGCTACAGAGGGTGGTGAGTACTGCCCAGTACATCACTGGGGCAGAGTTCCCTACCATCCAGGACCTCTACACCAGGCTGTGTCAGAGGAAGGCCCAAAAAATTGTCTAAGACTCCAGCCACCTAAAAGCCTTTGCAGTTAGCTGTCTTATGCCCCGATTTTGTCGTCCCAGACAAAATGTCCATGTCGTGGGTAAATTCTTACATTGTAAACGATTGTCGGACGTCTTGGCTTGTTCAGTGTGACAGGGTCTAAGTCTACCGATTAAGTACCAATTTCCTTTGCCTATATTGTGTAGTGTGGCTGGTGTTGGTGTTACGAGCCGATTCCGGTGACTGACCAATAAGAACACAGTCAGCACACAATAATACGATTATTGTGAATTGTCAGATTAATATAATAGTTTGATTTAATTAGGTACACCACCCCGTTCACGAAAATGGTTCGCTCGTGCAGATAGTGAGTCACATGGCCGTGGCTTGCTATATAAAGCAGGCAGACAGGCATTGAGGCATTCAGTTACTGTTCGATTGAACGTTAGAATGGGCAAAACGTGTGACCTAGGTGACTTTGAGCATGGTATGATCATCGGTGCCAGGCGCGCCGGTTCCAGTATCTCAGAAACGGACGGCATCCTGGGCTTTTCACGTACGACAGTGTCTAGGGTTTACTGTGAATGGTGCGACAAACAAAAAACATCCAGTCAGCGGCAGTCCTGTGGGCAAAAACAGCTTGTTGATGAGAGGTCGAAGGAGAATGGCAAGAACCGTGCAAGCTAACAGGTGGGCCACAACAATGGTGCGCAGAATGGCATCTTGGAACGCACAACTTGTCAGTCCTTCTCACGGATGGGCTATTGCAGCAGACGACCACACCGGGTTCCATTCCTATCAGTTAAAAACAAGAAGAAGCGGCTCCAGCGGGCACGCGATTACTAATACTGGACAATTGAGGAGTGGAAAAACATTGCCTGGTCCGACGAATCCCAGTTCCTGTTGCGTCATGCTGATGGCAGAGTCAGGATTTGGCGTAAGCAGCATGAGTCCATGGCCCCATCCTGCCTGGTGTCAACGGTACAGGCTGGTGGTGGCGGTAGTGTAATGGTGTGGGGAATGTTTTCCTGGCACACGTTAGGTCCCTTGATATCAATTGAGTAACGTTTGAATGCCACACCTTGTAGAATCCATGCCCTGAAGATTTCAGGCAGTTCTGGAGGCAAAGGGGGGTCTGACCCGGTACTAGATTGGTGTTCCTAATAAACGGGCCACTGAGTGTATAACGTTTGTGAAAACTATTTCATGCATATTTTCAGTTTTTCCGAACTCACTTCACTCGCGCATAAGCATAGAGTGAGGCTTGCGCTGCTGGTGCTGGCACATGCGTAGATCAAATACCCCGCTGCAGTTGACGTAGCCTACGTCGGCTGACATAGACTCTCTTTTGAACTAACTTTCTTGCACTGACTCTATGCACACACACTGGACTCTACCCACACCCTCACACATACTTACATTGACACCCCAACACACACATATACACACACGCACACACACTACATACACCTACACACACATAACACACGCACACATGCATACTGACGCCACACACACACACTTTCACTTTACCCCTACTATATGTACATAGCTACCTCAATTACCACATACCCCAGCACATCGACTCGGTACTGGTACTCTCTGTACTGTATATAGCCATGTTATTTTTACTCGTTATTGTTATTCGTTATTCACTGTGTATTTATTCCTCGTGTCACTATTTCTATAAAATAATAATATCTTTAACTCTGCATTGTTGGAAAAGGACCCGTAAGTAAGCATTTCACTGTTAGTCTACACCTGTTGTTTACGAAGCATGTGACAAATAAAATGTCATTTGATTTGATTTGAAAACTGCAAAATTCTCCCTCAGCCTCATGGCAAAATGTGTAGAATAGCAGGAAATTAACTTTAAAACTGCTATATTTTTTCTCAGCCTCATGGCAAAATGTGAACAATAGCATGAGATGAGCTATAAAACAGCACATTAATATCTATGAGCCATTGCAAAAAGTGTAGAATTGCAGGATTTTATTTTTTTGCAGGAACATTTTCTCTTAGCCTCATGAAAAAAACGTGTACACTCTAAAAAATGCTGGGTTGTTTGGATGACCCATTTTCTGGGTTTCAGACATTGGGTCACTTAGTTGGGTTGTTTTCTTTAAAAAGAGCAAGGTTGGTTTGCTGATGCCGGGTAATTCTCCCGCCAAATCCAGAAGATCAAAGTGATCCGGCAAGCTCGTGAATGAGGACTGTTGCAGCTGTAGCAAGTCTACCAGTGCAGCCAGGCACTGAGTGGAATTACTTTTCGACGGACCAATGGGCAAGGCGTTGTGGCTGACCGAAAACTGTGAGTAAAAAGCTTACGTTACTAATCATCCATTCAGGTTACAGTTTTTCTTGATTGCTAAGACACTTTTAATGAAACTGGGGTCCACTTGATCGCCATCATAACCTAATGAGCACAACAGTATTTTTTTTTGCAAAACTATAAGTGCTTTCACACATAATGCAACTCTCTACACAAGACGCAAAACTCAGTTGAGTAAATCATTACAAACAAAATTAAAACATTCGGCGACAGCTGATACAAATGACTCCCATGAATGCGAACCTCTTCTGCACATGTGCAAAACTTATTTGAACAATTGTTCAATCAGCAATCAGTCCTTATTCATGCATAAAAGAGGTCACCTCTGAGTTGCTGTTTTCAAGAATGGAGCAAGTAAGAGGCCGGGGGCAAGGACAAAGGAGAGGTAGAGGGACCCATAGAGGGAGATAGTTCAGCTCTCAGTTAAAATGGAAAAGGGTAAAATAAAGCCTTTTGTTTCTGGATATTCATGCTCTTGAGTGACATTCTTTCTGCATTGGTCATCTTTGGTAAAATCATTTTAGGAAAATATAATACAGCCCATGCTGTGATAATATGTTTACTTGCCTTTTATAGTGCATACTATAATTATAGTATCGATAAATGGCACAGACATATAAAAGAGGGTTAACCAGGTTAGGGTATATTGATAGTTGTAGTTAGTACAGTGCCTTCAGAAAGTATTCACACCCCTTGGCTTTTTCCACATTTTGTTGTGTTAAAGCCTGAATTTAAAATAGATTAAATTGAGTTTATTTATTTTTCACTGGCCTACATACAATACCCCATAATGTCAAAGTGGAATTATATTTTTCTAAATTTAAAACAATGTCTTGAGTCAATAAGTATTCAACCCCTTTGGCAAGCCTAAATAAGTTCAGGAGTAAATGTGCTTAACAAGTCACATAATACGTTGCATGGACTCAATCTGTGTGCAATAATAGAGTTTAACATGATTTTTGAATGACTACCTCATCTCTGTACCCCACACATACAATTATCTGTATGGTCCCTCAGTCGAGCAATGAATTTCAAACACAAATTCAACCACAAAGACCAGGGAGATTTTCCAATGCCTCGCAAAGAAGGGCACATATTGGTAGATGGGTAAATATAAAAAAGCAGACATTGAATATCCCTTTGAGCATGGTGAAGTTATTAATTACACTTTGGATGGTGTGTCAATAAAACCCAGTCACTACAATGATACAGGCTTCCTTCCTAACTCAGTTTACGGAGAGGAAGGAAACCACTCACCATGAGGCCAATGGTGACTTTAAAACAGTTACAGAGTTTAATGGCTGTGATAGGAGAAAACTGAGGATGGATCAACAACATTGTAGTTACTCCACAATACTAATGTAATTGACAGAGTGAACAGAAGAAAGCCTGTACAGAATAAAAAATATTCCAAAACATGCATCCTGTGTGAAAAAGGCACTAAAGTAATACTACAAAAAATGTGGCAAAGCAATTAACTTTTTGTCCTGAATACAAAGTGTTATGTTTGGGGCAAATCTAATACAACACATTTCTGAGTACCAATCTCCATATTTTCAAGAATAGTGGTGACTGCATCATGTTATGGGTATGCTTGTAATCGTTAAGGACTGGAGAGTTTTTCAGGATACAAAAAGAAACAGAATGAAGCTAAGCACAGGCAAAATCCTAGAGGAAAACCTGGTTCAGTCTGCTTTCCACCAGACACTGGGAGATGAATTCACCTTTCAGCAGGACAATAACCTAAAATACAAGGCCAAATCTACACTGGTGTTTTTTACCAAGAAGTAAGTGAATGTTCCTGAGTGGCCTAGTTACAGTTTTGACTTAAATCTGCTTGAAAATCTATGGCAAGACCTGTAAATGGTTGTCTAGCAATGATCAACAACCAATTTGACAGAGCTTGAAGAATTTTTGAAAAGAATAATGGGCAAATGTTGCACAATCCAGGTGTGGAAAGCTCTTAAAGACTTACTCAGAAAGACTCACAGCTGTAATTGCTGCCAAAGGTGATTCTCAAGCCCAAATCAAATGAAAAACGTGTTTTTTTACGGCCGTGAATGAGCGCGTATACGCTGGAATTAGAATGCACGGTAGTGAATGAGAGAAAACAGAGCTTCAATTCCGTCATGCGCTTCAAATTAGAAAGCAAGTCTATTTTTCTTACGTCTACACGAAGCAATGCTGGTAAAGTGAGCGGATAAATTGCCAGAAAATAGACTGTTTGTGAATTGTTACGTCTGGAATTTTGACATGTATAGTTAAAAAGTGTATATTTAGTGTTGATAAGTTTAGCTGCCGGTGCCGGTAATACACATTTCAAAACAATAACTTTATGCCTACCTTTGTTGATTTTGAGCACAGGCAAATGGCCTATGCAGCCTACGGCTGGGAAACTAGAGGAACTCTGTTCAAGCAAGAGTAAAGCTATGTAGAAAGAATGAGACTAGCTAAATTCTTTATCAATTGCTAGGGTGTATTTGTTACAACTCTCCTCATGTTCGTGAGCCAACGTAACAGAAGTCAGGTACGGTGGCTCCCGTAGGACATACAGTATAAGGTGAGTCAAAAGGAACACACAACAATCATTCACAAGGGCTACATAGCGAACATAACAATTACAACTGTTTATTATGGATTCTCATGCCAATTAAGTTGGCATACGCTACGCAGTGTATGTGAATTGACTGTCTCTACTCTCGCACGCAAATTTTGACGCCATTGACAGCGTCTCTCTGTGTGGTTTCGGCTTAACATATATTGACTTATGGGCTAATCAAGATATATTATTGTTTTATTTTTCATGAATTTCAATTTTTTTTTAGAATATTTCTTCCACTTTTACATTAAGGAGTATTTTGTGTAGATCGTTGACAAAAAATGACGATTAAATCCATTTTAATCCCACTTTGTAATGCAACAAAATGAGACAAGAGTCAAGGGGTGTGAATACCTTCTGAAGGCACTGTATTTAATGGGCCATTGTGTAATGATTGATTGAAATAACTTTTTATTAGATAACAAGTTGTATGTTTTGATGGAGGTAGTTGATTTTGTGTCATGTATTTAATGTTTTGATAGTCTTAAAGGAAAATTCCACCCCGAAACTATATTTTGGTATTTGTTTGTTTGAGCTCCTGAGTGGCGCAGTGGTCTAAGGCACTGCATCGCAGTGCTAACTGTGCCACTAGAGATCCTGGTTCGAATCCAGGCTCTGTCGCAGCCGGCCGCGACCGGGAGACTCATGGGCGGCGCACAATTGGCCCAGCGTCGTCTAGGGTAGGGGAGGGAATGGCCGGCAGGGATGTAGCTCAGTTGATAGAGCATGGCGTTTGCAACGCCAGGGTTGTGGGTTCGATTCCCACGGGGGGCCAGTATAAAAAAAAATATCTAATCACTAACTGTAAGTCGCTCTGGATAAGAGCGTCTGCTAAATGACTAAAATGTAAATGTAAATGTTTAATTAGTCCATTGTTGACATAGTCCCAAAAATGTTTGCTTGTCAGCACTCAAGTTTTCAAGATATGTAACTTTCAAAATACAGAAATAATTCCCTGTATAATGCCATTTTGCATCATATGATGCTGCGTTTTGCATCATATATTGCAAGCTATATATTCATGTGCTGTGTGTGATAGCAAAAATGTAAGGTTTTTGTTGAAGATAGCTATGTCAGTGCCTGCAGAAAACCTGTCTTCTGTAGGTCTACTGTGTGCGGCATTGTTTCCCCTCAGCTAGCTAGCCAAACGTTAGATTTTACGTAGCTAGACCTATTCCCTGTCTCTGAGTTAATGTAGCCCTTTCCTGCAGTCAAATGACCAGATCGCCCTCTAGTGGCCTCATGGGTGGAATGTTATTAATATTCATTATATTTTTTTAACTGCCAAGAATTTGGTGTTTCTATGTCAAACGGTTTTGATATATTTCAGTCTTATGTGATGTACAGTGAGGGAAAAAAGTATTTGATCCCCTGCTGATTTTGTACGTTTGCCCACTGACAAAGAAATGATCAGTCTATAATTTTAATGGTAGGCTTATTTGAACAGTGAGAGACAGAATAACAACAACAAAATCCAGAAAAACGCATGTCAAAAATGTTATACATTTATTTGCATTTTAATGAGGGAAATAAGTATTTGACCCCTCTGCAAAACATGACTTAGTACTTGGTGGCAAAACCCTTGTTGGCAATCACAGAGGTCAGACATTTCTTGTAGTTGGCCACCAGGTTTGCACACATCTCGAGGGATTTTGTCCCACTCCTCTTTGCAGATTTTCTCCAAGTCATTAAGGTTTCGAGGCTGACGTTTGGCAACTCGAACCTTCAGCTCCCTTCACAGATTTTCTATGGGATTAAGGTCTTGAGACTGGCTAGGCCACTCCAGGACCTTAATGTGCTTCTTCTTGATCATTGCAACTCCACGAGGTGAGTTCTTGCATGGAGCCCCAGGCCGAGGGAGATTGACAGTTCTTTTGTGTTTCTTCCATTTGCGAATAATCGCACCAACTGTTGTCACCTTCTCACCAAGCTGCTTGGCGATGGTCTTGTAGCCCATTCCAGCCTTGTGTAGGTCTACAATCTTGTCCCTGACATCCTTGGAGAGCTCTTTGGTCTTGGCCATGGTGGAGAGTTTGGAATCTGATTGATTGATTGCTTCTGTGGACAGGTGTCTTTTATACAGGTAACAAGCTGAGATTAGGAGCACTCCCTTTAAGACTGTGCTCCTAATCTCAGCTCGTTACCTGTATAAAAGACACCTGGGAGTCAGAAATCTTTCTGATTGAGAGCGGGTCAAATACTTATTTCCCTCATTTAAATGCAAATCAATTTATAACATTTTTGACATGCATTTCTCTGGATTTTGTTGTTGTTATTCTGTCTCTCATTGTTCAAATAAACCTACCATTAAAATTATAGACTGATCATTTCTTTGTCAGTGAGCAAACGTACAAAATCAGCAGGGGATCAAATACTTTTTTCCCTCACTGTATATCAAGTGTAATATTGGGATGCAAACTCAAAATTAAATACATTTCAATTCTATATCTGACATGGTACAGGTACAGTGAGGGAAAAAAGTATTTGATCCCCTGCTGATTTTGTACGTTTGCCAACTGACAAAGACATAATCAGTCTATAATTTTAATGGTAGGTTTATTTGAACAGTGAGAGACAGAATAACAACAACAAAATCCAGAAAAACGCATATCAACATTTTTATAAATTGATTTGCATTTTAATGAGGGAAATACGTTTTTGATCCCTCTGCAAAACATGACTTAGTACTTGGTGGCAAAACCCTTGTTGGCAATCACAGAGGTCAGACGTTTCTTGTAGTTGGCCACCAGGTTTGCACACATCTCAGGAGGGATTTTGTTCCACTCCTCTTTGCAGATCTTCTCCAAGTCATTAAGGTTGAGGCTGACGTTTGGCAACTCAATAAATCAATAAATAAAATTTTGACATGCGTTTTTCTGGATTTTTTGTTGTTATTCTGTCTCTCACTGTTCAAATAAACCTACCATTAAAATTATAGACTCATCATTTCTTTGTCAGTGGGCAAACGTACAAAATCAGCAGGGGATCAAATACTTTTTTCCCTCACTGTATATCAAGTGTAATATTGGGATGCAAACTCAAAATTAAATACATTTCAATTCTATATCTGACATGGTACAGATACTGTATGTAATATGGTAAACCATGCACAAAGTGGCTGGACTCAACTCAATGCAGATTAACGTCCTGCACTCAGCAATAGACTGTATAGGAGTAGAGCACGTTCTGAGTAATAGGAAAGGCCACAATGTGTGTGTGTGTGTGTGTGTGTGTGTGTTTGTGTGTGCGTGGGCTTGTGCAAGATTGTCGTTTGTCTTGATTATTGTTCAACATTTTATAATATTTTCTAATCCCCAGGTTGGTACCAATATGGCTGAATAACTCCGCCAGGCGACCAAAAGAACAAGAGACCCGAACCCTTCGTTCTGACTCTCGGGGACAATCACCTCTACTCCCTGGCATTCACCATCATGAATGGGCAGGCTCTGGAGCAGAAGACATTATGTTTCGTTGTTGCTGTTGTTTGACATAAATTCATGTTGAAAATGTATACCTGGTAGGGGCTGGGGGAGTGGTTACTTTTCTTCAGCCTCATTCCTCAGCTTTAATTGGAAGGGCTGCTGTGATATTTAAATGATGGATTGTGCTTCTAAAATGTTGGTTTATTTGTGTGTTCCTTATTTGTTTTTTTATCTTTTACATGACTTAATTTTGTAGTTGAAATTAAGAGCTGAAAATAAGTATTTGTGTAGTAACGTTGTAACATTGATTGTTATTGTTAGAAGTATTTGTACTTTAAGAAATTGTGCAGATTCTGTAATAGAGAGAAGGTTAAAAAAAAATAACCCAGCAAGAAAGTAGGAAATGACCACTGCTGGGTAAATCAAAATCAAAATAATGATAACCCAGCAATAAAGTAATAAATAACCCTCTGCTGGGTTAAAAACACATGAATAGCAATAACCCAGCAAAAGAGTAAAAACCAACCCACTGCTGGGTAAAAATAACACAATTTGGGGTTAAATCAAGTTACCCAACAGTGCTGGGTCAAAATAAGCCAGTGCCAGGTATGTACTATATTGACCCAGCGCTGGGTTACAGAAATGACCCAAATTGGGTCATTATTGACACAGCATTTTTTAGAGTGTAACTTTTTATTAGAAGGATACTAAGTAGCCTTTGAAGTGATGAGTCACTGCTTGTCTTTCTTACCCCCCTATATAGGGCTAATGACACCATACATGGTACATTTAATAGAGGGTGTCAATTTAGTTTATAATTTGGTTATGCAAGTAATGAGATTATTTTAATGAATAAGGAATTAGGAATGAGTCATCATTGGCAATATTTTGGTATGTACATATTAGGTAGATATGTGTGGTATAAATTGAATTCAGAAAAATTGAATTCAGAAAAACACTATCAATAGATTACAGGTTTTTTCCTCAGTTGAATCTATGATGTTGTTGATGTTGTTATAATGTTGTTATATTCTTTTGATAGGTACTATGCGATCTGCTGCCAGCCGCTGGTGTACAGGAATAAGATGACTCCCGTCAGAGTGGCCCTAATGCTGGGGGGATGCTGGGTCATCCCCTCCTTCATCTCCTTCCTTCCCATCATGCAAAGCTGGCATGCCATAGGCATAGAGGACATTGTAAGTCTATAAGCAGCTGTGGCCAGCCTGTCTGTCTGATGGTTCTACTATAGACAGAGGCGTGCTCTGTAGTATAAATCATTTGATCTAATGTTTTGAACTACCATAAATCGTTTTGTTGATCCTTGAAAATGTGAAGAGGATAGATGTTAAGCGAAGGACACGTGGTTAAACCAACAAGCATTACATTTTTTATTTGAATAACATTTCAAGTTCATTGAATGGTGTTGTAGTAGTCAGAAAACAATTGTACTATTCACAGCCCTTTTCAGCTACAAGCATAACAGATCAAACTGGAGACCTATGTTTGTATAGTTGTTTTATGTTTTGACATGGTGCTGATTTTGAGCTGCTTGGATCATGAACTGTTCATGCATCAAGCTCTTTGGGGAGTGCAAACACACAAGCCCTCTTTTAGTTCTAAAAATAGTACTATGACTCATTGTTTCACCTTTGACACCTGAAAAAACATATCTCTGTCAAATGATGGCACTGATGTTTGTTTACAAAATTCAAATTACCCATATACACTGACTGTATAAAACATTAGGAACACCTTCCTAATATTGAGTTGCAGGCCCTTTTGCCCTCAGAACAGCCTCAATTCATCGGGGCATGGACTACAAGGTGTCAAAAGCGTTCCACAGTGATGCTGGCCCATGTTGACCCCAATGCTTCACACAGTTATGTCAAGTTGGCTGGATGTCCTTTGGGTTGTGGACCATTCTTGATACACACGGAAACTGTTGAGCGTGAAAAACCCAGCAGTGTTGAAGTTCTTGTCACACTCAAACCGGTGCGCCTGGCACCTACTACCATACCCCGTTCAAAGGCACTTAAATATTATGTCTTGCCCATTCACCCTCTGAATGGCACACATAAACAATACGTCTCAGTTGTCTCAAGGTTTACAAATCCTTCTTTAACCTGCCTCCTCCCCTTCATCTACACTGATTGAAGTGAATTTAACAGGGGAAATCAATAAGGGATCATAGCTTTCACCTGGATTCACCTGGTCAGTCTGTCATGGAAAGAGCAGGTGTTCCTAATGTTTTGTACGCTCAGTGTAAGTGCCTTCCAAGTGCACTCAACCATCCTAGGCTAAAGCTACCACTACCATTTACATAGACATAAACACCCAAGAGAATTCCAGGCACACAGCCTCTTGCACTGAGATCTAAACACTGGAGTCAGTGCTGAGCACAATCCACAGCTACCAGTTTATGAACACAAATAATATTATATGTCAACGTCTACCCGTTCAAAGTTTGTTTTAAGAGAGTCAGTGAAATGGGCAGAAGGCAATCGTTACACTCTCAGTTGAAGGGGACACAAGTGTGTCACTATTCCATGTGGATGTGGATACAACAGAACGTGCACGCCTCTTCCTGTATGTGGATCTGCTTGTTCATTGATTGTTCTCTCTCTGCATGCTGTCTGTCTCCAGATTGAGGAGAGGAAGTTCAACAGCAGCAGCAACAAGACCAACTGTGTATTCGTGGTGAACCGTCCGCATGCTCTCATCTGCTCCACTGTGGCCTTCTACGTTCCCCTGGGCCTCATGGTCCTGGCCTACCAGCGCATCTACATCACCGCCATGGGCCACGCGCGGCAGATCGGCACGCTGCAGCGGGCAGGCTCCGCCCACTACTCGGCGCCCCCTCATCACTACCTCAGCTCCGAGCAGCAGGGCTCCAACCGCATGCGCATCGAGACCAAGGCTGCCAAGACCCTGGCTGTCATCATGGGCTGCTTCTGCCTCTGCTGGGCCCCCTTCTTCATCACCAATGTGGTGGACCCCTTCATCCACTACAGTGTGCCCTGGCAAATGTGGACCGCCTGGCTGTGGCTTGGCTATATTAACTCTGGCCTTAACCCCTTTCTCTACGCTTTCCTGAACAGGGCCTTCAGACGGGCCTTCCTCATGGTACTGTGTTGTGGTGATGAGAGACACGTACGCCAGAGGAGCTACGGCCCCACCAGACGCTACTCTGGATCCGTCAACGGGACCTCCATCGCACTCAGGTAAGGAACTGATACTGGACCACCCACCCATGTCCTACCTTTTATTAATTAGCCTTGAATTAAGATAATTCTCTCTCAGGTACAGATACATAATATTCTCTCAGGTATGTGGGTTAAGCTGAGTCTCTGGTGCCCTATTTTACTTAAAATACATTTAGATTAATCTGAGATTAGATATTGCCCAAGACGTTTGAGGTCTGGAGAGAAAATCTGGTTATTCTCCAATCAGGGTCATCAAAGAATGAATATTTACATCAGATTTCAACATGTTGAATCAGAAGCTTGAATTTGTTTAACTGTTGAATGTCTGTGTGTTATTTTAACATTTCTCTCAGTTATCCATGGTTCAGTGGTGTTATGAGTACATGTGCTTTTATAGACAAAACTGTCTAATCTTTTTCTTCGTTTTCAGGATACATAATACATTTACAGTTGAAGTTGGAAGTTTACATACACCTTAGCCAAATACATTTAAACTCACTTTCACAATTCCTGACATTTAATCCTAGTAAAAATTCCCTGTCTTAGGTCAGTTAGGATCACCACTTTATTTTAAGAATGTGAAATGTCAGAATAATAGTAGAGAGAATGATTTATTTCAGCTTTTATTTCTTTCATCACATTCCCAGTGGGTCAGAAGTTTACGTACACTCAATTAGTATTTGGTAGCATTGCCTTTAAATTGTTTAACTTTGGTCAAACGTTTTGGGTAGCCTTCCACAAGCTTCCCACAATAAGTTGGGTGAATTTTGGCCCATTCCTCCTGACAGAGCTGGTGTAACTGAGTCAGGTTTGTAGGCCTCCTTGCTCGCACACGCTTTTTCAGTTCTGCCCACAAATGTTCTATAGGATTGAGGTCAGGGCTTTGTGATGGCCACTCCAATACCTTGACTTTGTTGTCCTTAAGCCATTTTTCCACAACTTTGATAGTATGCTTGGGGTCATTGTCCATTTGGAAGACTCATTTGCGACCAAGCTTTAACTTCCTGACTGATGTCTTGATATGTTCCTTCAATATATCCACATAATTTCCCTTCCTCATGATGCCATCTATTTTGTGAACTGCACCAGTCCCTCCTGCAGCAAAGCACCCCCACAGCATGTTGCTGCCACCCCCGTGCTTCACGGTTGGGATGGTGTTCTTCGTCTTGCAAGCAATCCCCTTTTTCCTCCGAACATAACGATGGTCATTATGGCCAAACAGTTCTATTTTTGTTTCACCAGACCAGAGGACATTTCTCCAAAAAGTACGATCTTTGTCCCCATGTGCAGTTGCAAACTGTATTCTGGCTTTTTTATGGCGGTTTTGGAGCAGTGGCTTCTTCCTTGCTGAGCGGCCTTTCAGGTTATGTCAATATAGGACTCGTTTTACTGTGGCTATAGATACTTTTGTACCTGCTTCACAAGGTCCTTTGCTGTTGTTCTGGGATTGATTTGCACTTTTCGCACCAAAGTTAGTTCATCTCTAGGAGACAGAAGGCATCTCCTTCCTGAGTGGTATGACGGCTGCGTGGCCCCATGGTGTTTATACTTGCGTACTATTGTTTGTACAGATGAACGTGGTACCTTCAGGCGTTTGGAAATTGCTCCCAAGGATGAACCAGACTTGTGGAGGTCTACCATTTTTTTCTGAGGTCTTGGCTGATTTCTTTTGATTTTCCCATGATGTCAAGCAAAGAGGCACTGAGTTTGAAGGTAGGCCTTGAAATACATCCACAGGTACACCTCCAATTGACTCAAATGATGTCAATTAGTCTATCAGAAGCTTCTAAAGCCATGACATCATTTTCTGGAATTTTCCAAGCTGTTTAAAGGCACAGTCAATTTAGTGTATGTAAACTTCTGACCCACTGGAATTGTGATACAGTGAATCATAAGTGAAATAATCTGTCTGTAAACAATTGTTTGAAAAATTACTTGTGTCATGCAAAGTAGATGTCCTAACCGACTTGCCAAAACTATAATTTGTTAACAAGAAATTTGGGGAGTGGTTGAAAAACAAGTTTTAATGACTCCAACCTAAGTGTATGTAAACTTCCGACTTCAACTGTACCTCTGCTCTGAATGTGGGAAAGAAGGAAACATTAGGAAAGTCTTGTAGTGGTGCATATTGTATATAATATGGTATAGAATACACATGGTTAAGTAGAAAACCAGAAAGCCAGAATAGGTTATCGTCAAGTGAAGACAAGTAAAGGATGGGGCATCATTAAGGAGATTTAGATTCTTATACCCTGTTTTTTTCCATACCCAATTTGGTTGGGCTCGTTGAGCAGTGCTCTACTCTTCTGCCAGACTAAGAGGCCCATGTGTAAGGAAGGCACTTAGGCCACTCAGCCCGCGCCTATATGACCTCATCAACACTACTGGTTACACAGAGGGGGGAAAACAAAATGGATGTGACTATATCCTGGAATGTCCTGGTGCTTTTTAAACCACATTGGCATTTTGAAATGGGATAGTATTTGTTTATTAACATGTTTATTCATGTTTTTATGATTATATTTTCCTTTTTAAATCGGATGAGGTGCCGGATGTTGTGACCTTTTTGTGTCATCATTTATCTTTCTCAAGGGTTGTGGAGGCTGTGTAGAGAAAGAGAGAGAGAGAGAGAGAGAGAGCGCGAGAGAGAGAGAGAGAGAGAAGTAGCTGGTTTTACATGCTTCTCTCCAGGGTGATTTAGCCTTTTGTTATTGTTCAGTGTTTTGTTTGTGAGTTTTTCACATAATGATTATAACTTTGTTTCCATACAAAGTGTTACAAGTCTACCGTCCATGTGTTTCTATTTTATTATGTTTTGGAAAATAACATGCTTAACTGGTAACTCTGCGGCTGTATTCACAGTTGTAGTGGTTACTCATTGGATTAATTTTTGTGTAATGTAGTAGGCAGAAAAACAAACAGTATTAGAGACACCCTAATGTCTCTCTATTAACAAATGTCTGAGACACAAAGCAGATGTCTATTTTTCCGCTCAGAATCAAATTACTGCAACTAGAATAGAAGCTGTTGGAAAGTCATTAAGGATTTTGAGTAAGATACTTTTTCTTCAAGCATTAAAGTGGTCAGCACTGTTCATTTGGGTACAGTTCCACGTGCACTAGTGCAGCCATGTGATTTGTGTGGCGTTTGTGGTTATTGCACATCAATAATACATTTCTAAGTAAAATGAGATGTGATGTTTTCAATCACAAGGGCTATTTCTGCCTGCAACAATTGTTCTACCTAGCAGCAATACGAAGCATGGTCTTCACTATGTGACTGACTGTAGTAGATTATTCCAAAGATACAGTAGAGAGAGATGCACTGTCAGCTTTGTGGCTTTATATATTGTATTTTCTATATTACTGTGGTTGAACTCAACCTCCCATGCAGCGACCTGAGTGGTATACTACTAAGAAGATATGGTGCGTCTCTATCCAAAATGCATGCATTTGTAAGAAAGTGTGCATGTGTCAATGTCTTATTTCTGAATGTCTTAACTCACCACGTACAGCACTCATTTATTATTCACTTTACACAAGTCAATAAAGTCTGTTTTATTAACATCCATTACGAATGATAGCTTTTTCAAATACTGAGGAACTTTCGAACACTCCCTGGCTCGATAAACACCATATGTCGGTGTGAAATAGCAAAATATCATGATCTGCTGAACCCATATTTCCAGTGGAAACGTCATAAAACACTTTCTGTCCCGAGCTCACTGGCGCAGGAAATGTTGAGGGCCCGGAATAGTCTAGTTGATACAATGTTGCAAGTTCGTTAGAGACAGCTTCTGGCCTGACCCTGTGATGATTTGATACATTGTTGAACTTCACTAGCAATAGCTCAAGTCAAGACAGATAGAAAGGGAGGCAGACAGGCGGAGAAGAGAGATGAATGTGATTGAAAGAACCAGAATTTTAAATCAGGGTATTTTTTACTGTTTTTATTTGTTGGCTTTGGGCCTATGTATTGTACTTAGTTGATGATGGAAGTTATAGGCCTACTGCTGCATTGGCCTATAGGTCATCTCTGAGTTCTATGCTCTCATTTCTTTAACCGCCAATGGATCATAGTGTACCAATGTGTCCAAATGGCAGAGGCTATAGTGCTCTCGCCTTCAGATTTGTATGATTAATGTGACAATGATTTTGAGAATGATTATTGAAATGAAACTGTACCACGGAAATGTGCATTTTAAAAGAATCATAACTGGCACACAGATCGGTAGAAATGGTAGGATAAATTGTAAGCTTCCCCAAACTTGAAACTCACGAGCTGCCCATGGTCTTTACTATTACACCCATTAAAAAAAATTGTGAACGCGCAAGCGTCCCGTGAAAAAACAGAACCTCTTATGGAAATCAAACTGAAATCTAACTGATTCGTTCCGGCACTGGGTCTGGCAAGCTACATATACGCAAGCTTTTATAAAGCTAGCCAGCTTCAGTTAGCGTCACATTCCAGGCCAGGCTTCATCTGTACTACGACGGTAGATATTGCTCATCCCCCTGCTAAAAACTCTAGAAGGTCTGTAACGGCGCGAGCATGTCGCAGATGGCTAGTTGAACACCGAAGTCTTCATTGAAACATCAATCCATGGACGAGTCAGTGCCACATTTTCATTTGTGCTGAAATCAAAATGAAAGAAAAGTTATCTTGCAAATTCAGCAGGCTATGATGTGAAATAGACTTTTATAAGTGCTGTATTTATTTTATTACTTATCATTAATGGCTTCTTTGGTGTGCTTATCACTCCTATTGCTCCTTCTTCTATCTGTGTAACCAACCTGGTCTCAGAGCTTTTCGTATTATTCTGTATGTAAAAATTAGATACCTCATTTAGTATGATATGTTAGCTTTGGTATGGTTACATAAGACAAATGGTTACTTAAGGAGGGTGGATGGGTGAGTGAGTGAATTAGAATCTCATCACAGACAACTTTGGCATTTTTAGCTAATTAGCAACTTTTCAACTACTTACTACTTTTTTGCAACTTTTTGCAACTACTTAGCATG